CCCTTGTGACTCTCTGGAAGTTTTGAATGCTGAAGACTGATGGAGGCTGCAGCATTTCATTGGAGCGAAGGTAAGAGACATGCTCCAATGCAGAGGTAAGTATACCTCTTCTAGTTGCTACTTCGACTTGACTTCCTTTCAGTGAGGGGTGTTGCTTTAAAACAAAAATAAAAAGTTGAGGGTACTGTACATGGACCAACGACCTCACATAGACCACAGCAGCCTTCACCTTCAGTCCATGGTCAGAGCAGAGGACTTTGTGCTGGGGCTGGATGTTCATTAAAGTGGCCCTGTCGGGTCTACAAAATCACAAAAGAAAAGCCTTAAAGAAAAACATTGTTAGGTCCCTTTCACACAGGCTGATCACTATAGGATCCATGCACGAATCCCATCCAAATTGGAGCGGTACGGATCAGATGTCACCGCTGTGATATCCTTGTCCGTCCACTTTTTTCCTCCATCTTGCAATGGAGAAAAGAATTAAAACTGCCAGACCTCATGTTAGGCTATGGGGAGCCGGATGTAAGCAGGCATGTGTCCTTGTACATCTGATTACCCCCCATCCAGCACGAAAGGGACACCGAAACAGAACACTGTTCCATTTGTTTTTCCGGACATGGCTGGAGTCAGAGATAACTGGGTGTAAAAGGACGCCCATCCATTTAGAACCGGCTGTCCATAGACTAGCATTGGGCATCTGATTGTGTCTGCCTGAGAAATTGACAGGCAGACCCGAAAAGACCGCCCGTGTGAAAAAGGGCCTTATAATCACCTGTACATTGGGCTGTATGCTAAAACTTTACACTATAGCAGAGCTCTCAAGGCCAATACGATTCGATTATGTTGCTGGCCACTATGCTTGCTCCTGCTCACCCTTAGTTACTGCAGGACACAATAGTGACACAGGGGTCTTCGGCATAAGCCACAGCGGCCACAGGGGGACACTTTATTTCACACATCTGGAAGCATGGATTCGGATCAGTGCCAGAAGCTCTGTTTAGAGTGTGAAATTTTAGCAAATGGGCCAACGGACAGCTATGTATGAAGACATTTTCCTTACAGGTCAGTTTTTTGTTGTGATTTTGTAGACCCCATGACAGGGTTGTTTTATACTTTCCTGTATAACCCATTAAATAAATAAAAATAAAGAATTTAAAAAGAAAAACAGAAAAAAAAAACATTTAGGGCCTGTGTTCACAGAGTTTGATGAGCAAATGCAGTGTGCTGTTAAAAGGCTTTTGAGAACTCATTGCAGGTGCTGTTGATCTGCATTTGATCTGTTAGCTGCTTTCCCATTCCCATAGACTTTTATGGGGAGAGAAGCAAGTCTGAAGCAAGCAAAAGCCCGTCGGCACAGGGCCGGGCCACATCACAAAGTCTGCGTTCCAGAGTGTTCAGCCTCTGGAATGCACTGGATCGCAAGCCGGCCAGCTCTCTGCGTTCAGGGGCGGGAGGGGACATGGCAGTGCAAGCCACGCTCCCTGCCCTCAGTGCGATCACCCGCACCCGGAACGCAGGCACATTAGTGCCTGCCTACCAGTCCAGTGCGATCTGCAAAAATAGTGCTTGGATCGGGTGCGGGCGATCGCACTGCGGGCGGGTGGTATGGCTGTGGTGCCATTGACTTTAATGTACCGCCACGCCCCCTCCCGCCCCTTGTGTTCCAGTACGTTCCAGAGGCCGAACGCTGAAACACAGACTTTGTGGTGCGAACCAACCCTCAAGCAGAACTCCGGGGGAAAATGTTCTTACCCTTGCAGTTGGGCTATCCCCGCACTGCAAGGGTTAACTTCTCGTTTTTGTCTGGGTTCAAAAATACCAAAGTTATATTCACCTAATCCTCATAGCCGGCTTGCTCTTACACCGGTCTCCTTCTCCTCCGCTGCAGCGATGGTATGCCTCTCAGCATCCTCAAGTCCTATTGTATAGGACGTGATGACTCACGGGACCTTAAACCACTGGAGCAGAGGGAAGGGCGGGCGAGGTGGAAGGGACTTGTCTAAGGGCAAGGAGGATCGGGTAAGTACAACTTTTTAATTTTTGATCTTAGACAAAAACAAGCACTTAACCCTTGCAGTGTGGAGGAAACTAAAATCAGGCTTTAAGCAGTGGGGATAGCCAGGTGGCACTTATAATGGTGAACAGTGACCAATACGATATTTGTCTGTAGTATTTACTGTGTGTATTTAAATTGTATAGTCATATAGTCAAAATATTTTTTTCTTCAGAAATATTTGAATCATAAATAAATATCTGGAAGGATCAGAAATGAAAATGCATAAAACAGATCCCATTTTATAGAGAATATTTATTTGCTTTTGTGCACCGAAAGGGCCATTTCATTTTTAGGCATACAACTGTACATGGTTATGATCTCATTGGTGCCCTCTTCTGGCTGTAGAGCAGGTCAGCACTGTCACACTTCTGTGTTAGATTACCGTACAAATAAAAGGTTCTGCATGAGAGGAGTACCAAATCCAATTACTAATCACAACCCTTATAAAGTAAACAAAAAAAGGCCTTTACCTTCCCTTACTGAGACAAATCCTCCTTAATTTGTGTCTCACATGCTTCTTCTTCCAGACACTGCAGCTCACAGTGGGTGAGTTTCAGCAGCAGAGGCAGTGCTGTCAATCCAGAAAGCAGTAGGTGGGATTAGGTGTGGCCAAGTGACGATTGACAGCTACAGGCTTGTCAGTCAGCAGTAGCAAGGCTAATGGCCACATCCCATGCATTATTTTTTCATCTCACTGTAAGGTAAGCAGACATAACCTGCATGAGAGTGGCAACTCTGTTCTGGATTCAGGAGCAGTGCAGCATCATTACCACACCATCACAGGAAGCTGCATTCGATTAAATTTACTGGCAGGATCAATAGGTATTTGTGGGACTTTCCAGAAGGGAGTAAAAACTTTAAGAGCACACATAATTAAAAGAGAACTAAAGCTAAACTTTTTTTGGCTTTTGTTCTCTTTTGGGCCACAGAAGAACATTTACGAACATACTCCTGTGACCCAAAGTCAGCATCCAGCGGCTACTGCCGGGATCCACCCCGCTGCCTGACTGACAGATGGCTCTGCCTCTCTAGATCCAGAGCCAGCTATGTCCGCCCCCTTCCCTGTCTGTCCTTCCAGTAAGCACTGGAGGAATAGAAAAAGGGGAATCCCTGTGTGGAGCAGTGCCTGACAGTCACCGCTCTCTGCACGGAAAAGGCCGTGAGCTGAGCGATTAGCGGTTTGTGATCGATCAGTTCTTGAGTTATAGAGGCGACGTGTGACAGCTCCAGTGTCACACACTGGCTCAAAGTATTGGGAAGAGTACATTTTACTCACCCAATACTTCTCCTTTAAGTACAGCAACACATTTTATTAATTGGAGGTCATAGTTCTACTTTAAATAAATAAATAAATACCACATCCTACTGATAATGTGTTGAAATTGCAGAATGTGGGACAATGGCATCTGAATGGCATCTGAATGACATAATTGCCCATGGGGTGCTTTCATGCACACAAAGCTTATAGGCGTGAATAAAGTCAAAGTAGGTACAAAGTTCACAGTTTGCTTGTGTAGTAAACACACTTTATATTTCAAAACCTTTCTTCATTTTGCTTTACGTCATGATCTATTATGTGGTTAAGCAAATTGTTCTAATAACCATCTTCCATTTGAGGCTTTAAAATGCTGTTTATGTATGTTTATTAGCAATGAATGTAGTTGTCAGCAGAAATCTGAAAAGCACACAGTGCCTGTTGTATATACTGTATCTAGTTGTTTCAGGCAGCATGGTCTTTAAAGAGGGTCATTCAGGGCAAAGTGACAGGTTCTCCTAAAGCAGACATTACACTCAATGCAAGGACCGCTTTTTAAATCTGCCCCCTTGCCCCTAGCAGAAATGCTAAAGGGGCGTATTATATTAATTAGGGATGCACCTATACTGGTTCTTCGGTATCTGGTACGAGTACCGATATTTATCTCTCGGTACTCGCGGTACTTCCGCTAGCATTGAGCCGGCTTCCCGGGCAATCAGGAAGCCAGGCGGCATGTCAATACCTGCCGCCCAGCTTCTTGATTGCCTGAGAAGCTGGCTTCATGCTGTTTGGCCGGCTCGGTGCTGATTGGCGGGGAAGCCAGCTTCCGCGCCAATCAGCATAGAGCCGGCTGTTTGGACGGTTCGATGCTGATTGGCCAGAAAGCTGGCTTCCCAGCCAATCAGCATAGACCTGTTTTCCCGGGCCAATCAGGAAGCCTGATAGGCTGGTAAGCCGGCTCCATGCTATTTGGCCTGCTCCATGCTGATTGCCTGGGACCAGTCAGGAAGCCGGGCCGCTCGTCATTACCTGCCGCCTGGCTTCCTGATCGGCCGGGAAACCTGCTCCATGTTCTCTGGCGGCACTGCCGGTCAGAGGAAATCTCCCTCTGCCCGGAAGTTCCGGTATCGGGGAAGGTATTGAAGCATTTGGGCGAGTATGAGTACTCGACCAAATACTCAGAATCGGCACCGAAACAAGTATCGGTATTGGTGCATCCCTAATATTCATATTATACCCGGGGTGGGCAAATAATATAGAATTCAGGAGCCGGCCTGCCAGTTAGGCGCTGGCTGTCATTTTTAAGGCGCACTGGCGACCCGGCTCCAGCCCTAGAACAGGTGCAATATTTCCCGAATATGCTTAGTATTTCACTTAAAAGATTTTACCATTTGACTAGAATTGATATTAAAAGGTTCGAAAAACGGTGACCTTCTCGCACAGCATAAATGAAATTACACAGTTGTCCGTAATACTTTCCTTATGATTAGGATGGGGCTATGGAAGGGGAAATCAGCTTTCCAGGAAATGCATCCTTACTTTGAGTTACTTTAGAGAACATCTATCTTCAACCAGCGCCTGAGCAAAACTCTCCAACAAGGAGGGGTGCACTGGGAAAGAGGAAAGGGGGTGGGAAACGCAGCGACAAAAAAACAACCATTTCCTCTTCTCCGAGAGAGACAGTTAGGAAGCAAATTAACAGAATCCCATGCCAAAAATATATATATCCGTAAAACAAAAACTTCCTATCAGCTGCTGCCTACCCCAGCCCCTCTCTCTCCCTCTGTGACTCACATCCATCTCTCTCACACACATACACACTATTGAGCTCTCGGCTTTCATCCTCCAGCAACTGCAAGGAGATCCAGCGCTTCTTACTCCTCGAATGTACATTGTCCCTTGTAGTGCTTCTTCTATATCTGCAAGTTGCTGCACCTCTGCTCCTTGAGTGACTTTTTAACAGACAAGCCCTTTGGTTACTGAGTGGCTAGAAAGGGTCCACATCTGGAACACATCTGTCTTCTTGGGGCGTGGGAAGAAGAGAGTCTTATTTCCACTGTTCCTGGGGGCTCCTAGTTGGTGGGGTCCAGACGGGAATGCAGTTGCATCTTCGAGTGGAGGAGGTGGAAGTTGCATTGCAAGAGTGTGGATAGAGCAGATACCGAACATTGTTGGATTCTTCTCTTTTGCGTCTCCCTTTTCATGGGACTTTCAAGCCAGCTAGCCTAGCAGTGCCGTTCCTGGGAGGGCTTTCGACTCTCAAAATGAGTGGAGATGTCGTCTAGCTGCTCCTGACCCTGTGCCGTGCAGCAGGGCTCGCCCGACTTAAGTGGACTTTTTTTTGGTGGCGATGGGCATGCACAAACTAGTGGCCGTGGCTGTGGCGGTGGCACTGGTATCACTTATTCTAAATAATGTGGCTGCCTTTACTCCGAACTGGGTGTACCAAACCATGGAGGAAGGACGCAAGCGTACTGTTGGGCTGTGGAAGATGTGCTTGGCGGGAAGAGGGGTAAGCACCAAGCCCGGACAGGGAGATGAGAGAGAGTGCCAGTCAGTTGGCTGGGGGTCAGAGCCATCTGGCTTGCAGGAATCTCGGAACACAGTCAAGTGTAAGTATAGAATCATAAGTGTTTAATATTCATCCAACTGTTTTATTATCCATACATTCCAGCATAAGAATTTGGCTGGTAATCCCTCGCAGCTGGGTCATTTATGAAAATAACGAACACATTAAAATTAAGAAATGTTACTGTTTATGGTCATGAGCATGATACTTACATAGTACATAGTTACATAGTATTTGAGGTTGAGTAAAGACACGGGTCCATCAAGTTCAACCTTTATGTGTCTGTGTGTGTGTTGTGCGTGCGTGCGTGCGTGTGTGTGTGTGTATATGAGTCCCTATGCTGTCTTAGTTTTCAAGAGTACCTGTATCCCTGTATGTTACGGTCTCTTAGGAAGGTAACTAATCGATTTCTGAATAAATCAATATTCTCTGCTGATACCACTGCTTGTGGCAGAGAGTTCCAAAATTGAACCACTCTGACTGAGAAAAAACCCCTACACCCTTTGTGGTTAAATCTTTTCTGCACCAATTTTAGGTGGTGGCCTCTAGTCTTTTTTAGGGAGTTCACAGTAACATATGATGCCATATGTCGTGAAATTAATGCCACTTTTTTTTTTTTTTACAAACCTGATATTGAAGCAGTGGGGTGAAACCACCTTCTTTGTCAGCTTTAATAAAAGTTTTGTTCTTGTTTTATCACTTTGCCCAAAAAAACTGAAGTTTCTGCTGTCCCCAACAAGCAGTATTTCAATACCATGGCACGGAAACAGAAACCACCATCTGTATTCATAGAATGCTCTCATAACTGCTATCAGCAATCTAGAAACATTCCGTAGACACAGCTTAGTCTACAGTTATCCTTTGCAAATAAGCATACCGAAAGGCCAGTTCCAGCCCAAACTTTGTTTAGTAGGCACGAGACAGAACCAACAAGCAGTATTTTAATACTGTGGCACAGAAGCAGAAACCATCCCCTGTGTTAATGGAATGCTCTCCTAACTGCTGTCAGCGCTCTAGAAACATTCTTTAGACACAGCTGTCCCTACAGTTTTCCTTTGGCAATGAGCAAACTTTTTGCTCCCAGCATCAGTTCTCCCCTCTTTGATGACCCATGCATTTGCAGTGGTACCCAGCTCAGTGTTGCTGCGACAGGGTAAGGGGCAGCATACTGCTGAAAGAGGGCAATCGTTTGTTCCAGTGATGCTGGGGGCACACCCAACATTCGGAGCATCGCGGGCCCTAGGCAGAACAGCGTGGATTGCTCCCAATGGTTGTTTTTCAGCCAGGTTGTCAGTAAGCTGCGATGGACCTACACATATTAGTAACATTATTGCCCTGATGAAAGGACCCTGCGTGTCCCCGAGACGTTGGTTACTGTGATGTGTGGCGATTTGTCCGAATAAATGGACGTTTTGAATATTACCTACTGAGTGCTGGTGATTCCTGTTTTCTACTGTCAGATGTGCACAGCGCCATCCCCGATTATCACTGTGAGCACCACCATTGTGATTCGGGCCAGAGACTCTGCGAGGAGTATAGGGGGACCTACTGTTTTTCAGGACCTACACATATGGCATTTGAATAAGACTCCCAATTTTAAAGCTACACAGTGGAGGGAATTTATTAAAACTGGAGCAGGCAGAATCTGGAGTAAATTGCCCATAGTAACCAATCAGCTTCTTCAGTTAAGCATTGAAAATGAAAGACAGAAGCTGATTGGTTGCCATGGACAGCTGTTCCAGATTCTGTCTGTTCTGGTTTAGATAGATTCTCTCAGTGTTTTTAAAAGTACCGGGGCCCCTTGACTGCATAGTGCATTTTATTACTTAACCAAGTTCCATCCATTTGTTTACTTTTGGACAGAGTAGACAAGAGACAGAACTTCTGTCAGGTTTTCATCTACAGTGAAACTTCATGTTGGGAGAGGAAGTGATGGAAAATATCTCCAGTGGGTATACAAACTGCAATAAAACACTTTACTAGGCAGTAAAGGGGAAGGGTTAGTACCTCTGACAGGTAATCATTCCTATCTGTGTCTTCCTCTACCAGTGACAACTGTTCCCCTCATTCTTTATCCTGCTGTCACAATGACTGGCGAGTTGCAGTTCATAGAAACGTATACAACGTATAGATTGCCTTATAGAAACAAACACAGCTTTTTTTAAAGGGTCAGTCCATCTAAAACTGATATTTCAGGATGCAGGAGTGTTAAACCATCCCATTGGGGAAATATCTGTGCTTATATTCCAAGGTCTGCATACCTGTTGCAGAAATAGGTTGTCCCATTCCCGTTGCTGGATTATTAAACTGTTTTATTTTATGGAATCAGTACAAAATAAAGTGTGCTAAACAGAGGAGGAGGTAGATGCTGTAATGCTTTCCAATGTGACATAAAGGGAAGCTTTTATGATATGCAATTATCAGACCCTGCTTACTTCTGCCAGTCAATTGTGAGCTTGCAGGCACAAATGTTATTAGCCCTTGTAGTGGAGCTGCCCCCGCACTACAAGGGTTAAGTGCTTGTTTTTGCCTAGGATAAAAAAAAAAAGAAGTTATACTCACCCGCATCTCGGCGTCAGCAGTGCTCTCTCCAGCCTGTCTCCCCCAGCAATGGTATGTTCCTTGGCCTCCTCATGTCCTATACACTATATTGGATATGATGATTTACGGGAAATTAGACTGCTGCAGAAAAAGGGGAGAGACGCTCCTTGGACTGATCTAAGAGTCAGCCGGCTTCGAGGTTTAGGTGAGTATAACTTTTTTTTACCCTAGGTCAAAACGAGGAGTTAATCCTTGCATAGTGGGGGTAGCCCCACTGCAAGGGTTAATAAAATGGGGCCCGGAGTTCTTCTTTAAGAAGCATCAAATCTAAAAAGTGTTGTGTATGTCCTCCTTAATACAACTCTATATGCAGGGAGGCACATGTCTGTAGATAACTACCAGAAACTTCTGTGTTTCAGGTGAGCATAACTTTTTTTTAGCACCTAGACAAAAATTAGCACCTAACTCTTGCAGTGCAGGGGTAGCCCCACTGCAAGGGTTAAGAATGTTTTCCTCGAAGTTGTGTTTGAGACCTAATTCACACTTAGGCGACATTGTTTTTATGCGGGCATACATTAAATACGCACGTTTTTACGAGCAGATTAACACACTTTCAAGTAAATGGACAAAACGCATGCATACGTGTGCAAAAACGCGCAAAACTAATTGCACCTTGCGTTTTCAAGCATTTCCTATTGAATCTATGGGGCCAAAACGAGCTGAGATCTCCCCCAAAGAAGCTCATCTACTTTTTCAAGCGACAGGGGTTTTGCTTATTGCGACAAAACGCTCAGGTGTGCACAGGGGCCATAAGAATAAATGGGACTTTTTTTAGTGAAGCTTTTTGTCACGCTGAATCAGCTGCGACAATACGCTCAGTGTGAACCGGGCCTCAAGCATCACCATGGTAGAAATACAGCCAGCCTGCCTAAGGGCCGTTCACACCAGATGCAGTGCATTCCGGCCAGAAGGCACTGCCTCGCATTGCAGCTGGCTCACTTTTTTGTGGGGCAGGAGGGGGCGTGGCGGGCCATTGAAGTGAATGGTTCCGTAGCTACGCCCTCCGGCCGCAATGCGATCGGCCGCACAGGATCGCAAGGCACATTATGCCTGCGGTCCGGTGCGATCAAAATGCTGCAAGCACTTTTTTGATGGGACCAGACTGCAGGCATAATGTGTCTTGCGATCCTGTGCGGCCGGAGGGCGTAGCTACGGTGCCATTCACTTCAATGGCCCACCACACCCATTCACTTCACCCACATTAAATTCACACCCCCTCCTGCCCCACAAAAAAGTGAGCCGGCCACAATGCGAGGCAATGCGTTCTGGTCAGGATCGGGCTGGAATGCACTGCATCTGGTGTGAACAGGCCCTTAGTCTATTTATTTTTACACGCTTGGGCTCTGTATTAGCTCTTGTACATACCTTATATTGTGATGTGCTGTGGTGGGGGGAAAAAAATATGCGGTCATATGTGGTCATATGTGGTTTCTGATCTGTTGGCAGCCCATTCATAATACACATTAATGGACTACAGAAATGTCAATGGGTCTTTAAAGAAATGTGTCGGAGCAGAAATATACGAGTTCCCATTAATGACCTGTTCTTCAAGGTACAAGCTCCAAGAATGATTCTCCCTTCTCTAATTAGCCGAGTCACTAGCCTGGAACAAGCACAAGTATATCTGGTATTGGGACACCTGATAAGAACAGGTTTGTCTAAGGTCAGTGAGGCTCCAAGTAGTAGATTAAAGAAAAGTCAGCAGTAGCTCCTACATTACTATACTGACAAAGTCTTTTAAAAAGAAATAACACAACACTGTCGTAAATCAGACTCATGTAGTGCATGGAGCAAAGTGCAGTATCCATATCAACCAATCAGCATCCACCTTTTACTGATGTGCTTTCAGTAAAGTGAATTCGGAGTGGTTGCCATTGGTTACTGTACTTTTTCTTGCTTTATTTACTGAAAATGCTCAAATAACCCTAACGTATATAAATAACTGAAGCATGGATAGTTTTGCTTGGGTTAACACATTTTTTTGACAATCTGTATTGTCAAACGTCCCAGATTTCTACTGACATTTAGTATACCATGTCCATGAAAGCACCGACAGTAACAAGCTAAGATGGATATATGGACCCAAATATTGTCTCTAGAAAGTATTTTAAGTGAGATGACCACTTGGCTTATTCAATAAACACGGCAAAGTACAGAGCGAGAATGCAAACTGCAGTATCGCAAACGAAACCAATCAAAATGAACTTTACTGAAGACAGACCAGTAAAAGATGGATTCTGATTGGCTACTATGAGTACTGTCATTCATACTTTGCTCCTTGCACCATTTCATTGAATAAACCAAAAGATACTGGTATGAGCAAAAACAATGGTTCATCAGATGAGGCCCAACGAGCTGTACTTACAGAGGAACTCTAGGAACAATCTTTTATGGAAACTTACACTGGTCTCGCCTGGCTTATTAGTATAAGCGTTGAGCCAA